TATAATCAATTAGTTGGTATTAGATTTTTTTTTAAAAACAATAAATAGGTCAAATAATAATTACCTAATTCGTCTTTCTTTTTAATGGCATATGAATTTGAACTTCCCTCTAATTAAAACATAAATTTTTGTTAATTAGAATTTTTTCTTTTTTTTAAATCAAGACCGATAAAAATGAAATGAAATACAAACTAGCAGCATTAATTAATTCATCGGCCAAACATTCAGCAATACTTTTAACATTTCTGAAAGCTGATTCACGTGTCTATTATTACCATGTTATCATTATAATATATTTAGAAACATATTCAAAATAATCATAATCACAATAGAAAATTTTTGTAAAAGAAATGATCACAACTTACTCCAATTGTTAATAATGCAATAGATTGATTCACTCTACGAAGAGGTGAAACATCAACTGCTTGTCTCCTAACTGTTCCTGCACTACCAATACGAGTTGAATCTTCACGCGGACCAGTGTTAATTATAGCATCAACCAAAACTTGAATAGGGTTTTGATCAGTTGAAAGGTGAATAATTTCAAATGCGTGTTTTACAATTCTAACTGCCATTAATTTTTTTTCCATTATTACGCCCATGCATCATAAGTGAATTGGTCAAACGTTCAACAAAGATTTTTGAACAAGTAATGAGATTTTTGATCCTTTTAATTATCAACATTAAAAAGAAAAACATTATTTACTTGTGCTTTTCTAAATATTTTTGTGGAAAAACGACCAGCTGTATGCGGTAAATAAACTGGATTACGAATTTGTATGTAGTCTGTCAATGATATATCTTTTACTTCTACATCATCGTAAGTCCATTTATTAAATAATAGAATTCCTTGAGAAGCTGAAGCAATATCAGTAGGAAGAGCAATGATATACTTTATATGACAAAGAAGTTATGTATCAAATTTGGTGGCAATTGCTACACGACAAGGGTATCAAACGAGGGTGTGAAGACATTCAATTCGAAATTTTATTAATATTAATAAAAAATTGTGTAGATCACCGGAAATTTTCGGACATGTCACACGAC